CTCAAATGGCAGAAAGACACTTAAGAAAATGTTCAACATCCATTGATGAATTCAAATGGAATTGGAGCTAGGTTAATAACTGGTCATTTATTAGGGGATACACTCACACCAGGGAACCAGTGACCAGGTTGGCACTCCGAGCAGGTCAGACCCAGAATGCTTCCCAGTGCCGGCTCAGCCTAGAGAGAAGCTCTTATACACCCTGATATGTACCTGTGACCATGCCCGTTTGGTACCTATAATCAGGGTCTCTCCCTACAAACATCCTTAGTCATGAGAGAAATGCAAATCAAAACAACTCTGAGATAGCATCTTACACTTGTCAGAATGGCCAAAATCAAAAACACTGATGACAGCTTATGCTAGAGAGGATGCCGAATAAGAGGAACACTCCTCCATTGGGGGTGGGAGTACAAACTTGTACAATCACTTTGGAAATCAGTATGGCAGTTAATCACAAAACTGGAAATCAATCTACCTCAAGATCCAGCACTTTGGGTCACATACCCAAAGGAAGCACACTCACACCACAAGGACATTTGCTCACTATGTTCATAGTAGCATTATTTGTAATAGCCAGAACCTGGAATCAACCGAAGAATGGATAAGGAAAATGTGGTACATTTACACAATGGAGTACTACTCAGTAGTAAAAAACAATGACATCATGAAATCTGTAAGCAAATGGAACTGGAAAAAGCCATCCTAAATGAGGTAACCCAGACCCAGAAAGATAAATATAATATGTACTCACTCATAAGTGGTTATTAGACATAAAGCAAAGGACACCAGACTACAGGCTACAACCCTAGAGAACCTAGGTAACAAAGAGGACCCTGAGAGAGACATAATGGACTATGTAGGAAGGGAAAAAAGACAAGCTCTCCTGAGTAAATTGGGAGTGTGGGGTGCAGGGGAGAGTGGAAGGGGGGGAGAGGGGGAAAGGAAAGAGGAGTAGAGGAAAATATGTATATCTCAATAAAAAAATGGCATAAAAAAGGCAGAAAGAGAGGCAGGCTTCAAATCCAAACTCAGCTATGTTGCAGAATATTTGTTTACACTGTGTGAAGACGTGTCACTATGATCAGTTTAATAAAGAGCTGAATGGCCAATAGATAGGCAGTACTGTGGAATAATCTGTACACTGTGAAAATGTGTTGCTCTCATTGTCAATAAAAAAATGATTGGCAGGTATCCAGGCAGAAAGTACAGGCAGGACAACCAAACTAAGGACTGGGAAGAAGAAGGGTGGAGTGAGAACTCATGAGCAGACATGAGAGAAGCAAGATGGGCATGCTATATTGAGAAAAGGTACCAAGACACGTGGCAAAACACAGATAAGGAACATGGGCTATTTGAAAAATGTTAGAGTTAGCTAGTAACAAGCCTGAACTATTGGCAGAGCATTTACTATTAATATTAAGTTTCTGGGTAATTACTGGGGAGTGGTCACAACATAGGAAAACTCTGCCTACAAAGGAGAGAAAGGCAGGACTTCTGGGCAGAGAGAGGAACTCTAGATGAATCTAAGCATGAAAGAGACTCAGCTAGACATTGAAGAAGTCGGACATTCGGTTCAGAGGAGAGGTAACAGAGCCACATCACAGAACGCAGATTAATAGAAACAGGTTAAAACTTGGGGTTGGAGAGATGGCTCAGTGGGTAAGAGCACTGGCTGCTCTTCAGAGGTGCTGAGTTCAATTCACAGCAGCCACATGGTGGCTCACAGCCATCTGTAATGGGATCTGATTCCCTCTTCTGGTGTGCTTGAAGATAAGACAGGTCAGTCATATGCATAAAATAAATACAATTAGCTAATGAGACAGGCCTGAGCGAAAGGCCAAGCTTTCATAACTAATAAGAAGTCTCAGAGATGTTATGTATGAGCTGGTGGCTCAAAGGGAAATCTGGCTACATTTGGCACCCAATGTGGGGCTTAACCACATGGATGGAAAAGTCACTCCAGCTGGCACCACCACAAGTGCCACCTGGGTCTCTTATAAGCACTCAAAACAGTTGGCTGATGCTTGCTGGGATTCTGGAAAGTGGGTACAACAACTTTCCAGCTCCTGTCGCTGCCTGCAGACCCAGCTGCCAGTTCCATGTGCTAAGCAGAGCCATGCTGTTTAAGGTTTGGCTCATGCAGTCAGAGAAGCTGCAGACACACAAAAAGTCAGATCCAGCCAAGTGGTAGTAGTGCACTTGGGAGGCAGAGGCAGGCAGATCTCTGTGAGTTCGAGGCCTGCCTGGTCTTCAGAGCTAGCTCCAAGACAGCTAGGGCTGTTACACAGAGAAACCTGTCTTGAGAAACCAATAAAATAAGGTCAGATCTAGACCGCCCCCCAAAAAAAACACCTCTGCACAAGTACAGCATGCTAAAAAAGAAAATGGATATAGACAGTCATAATAAATAAAGGAATAGTTTTAAAATCATAAAAGACTTTTAAAAAAAGAAATATATATATATATGCAATACACAAGGTGCCTGGATCCTGTATGATGCTTTGTTGACTTTGAATTATCTGAATGCTGATGAGCAAAGGGCAAACACTGCTGAGAGATATTGGATTGTGAAAAATAACTACAACATTAAACCAGCCTACATATTTTAAGGATGTCTTAACTTCAGAGTGGAAGTCAGGAACTATGCTGTGTTGAGGGAGAGGTTATGCCTTTGTTTCTGCAGGAAACAAAAAGCTATGAATTCCTTCAAAATTAATAAAGACCAGATTTGAGTGGGGGAACCTCATAAAAATCTTGACTGCAAACGTAAAAGAAACCAAGAAAGACTACAAGAGCCAGGTGTTGGTGGCACACGCCTTTAATCCCAGCACTTGGAGGCAGAGGCAGGCAGATCTCAGTGAGTTTGAGGTCAGCCTGGTCTACAAAGCAAGTTCCAGGACAGCCAGGACTGTTACACAAAGAAGTCCTGTCTTGAAAAAACAAAACAAAGCAAAAAAAAGACTACAAGACAGGTGACGTATATGCTGATTCCTCAAAATGGGAACAGCTCTGAGACTCCATGAGACATGATAAATCTTGTTGGCTGGCTATAGAATCCTCATGATGTATTATTTCATGCCATCCTTTTATATGGCATGGATAGAGGTTTATATTATAATTTGGTTATGCAATCCAAATGAACTTACAAAATTGACAGATACATTTTTAACTTTTCAAACACAATAAAAAAATCATCTTTACTATTTTTTTTAAAAGTTTGTATATTTTCAGACACGATTGAAGGAAGACAAGTAGCTCAGGTGATCCCGCCTTTCAAAATGCTTCTATTATAGTTTCCTCAAAATTCTGCATCCAGAACAACTTCAAAGCTGCTAGTTGAGATGGTCCAGCCTCACAGATTCCCCCAGCCAGGACTTCAGATAAGCTCTACACTTTCCCATCACACAGAAACTAAACAAAAAATAATACAGCTAGCTCTCTCAGGACTTGATCATTATCCCAATTGTTTCAGGGTCCCCTAAAGATGCCATCTAACCCCAGACAATAGGAAGCAGTTTAGAGAACATAATGTCCACATTCACAAGAGGTGGGGTGGGTGGCTCTTGGTTGTTCTGTGGGTTATAAATGTTTGTCATCATTTAGGGGGTTGGTTGAAAATTGTTACTGGTCATGGTAAGGGAGGAAACCAAACAAGGGAGGTTGGATTCAAAGACCTCTTTCTGAAAAAAAGGCAGGCAGGTATAGGAATGATAGGATAAAAGGGTAAATTATAGAATCTATTTTTAAACTAAAAAACAACTATTAATCTCAAATATTTTATATTGGTATGGATTTTTGTATTGATACAAATTTAAGGTTATTTTTGTTAGAACATACTGTATATATGTTTCTACTATTGTTTAAGATATTTTTGTATATTGATACAAATTTAAGGTAATTTTTATTTTAACATACTGCATATATATTTCTAATTGTTTAAGGTATAGTACCTACATAGCTCATTTAAAAATGTAAAGTTGGGGCTGGAGAGATGGCTCACAGGTTAAGAGCACTGACTGCTCTTCCAGAGGTTCTGAGTTCAGTTCCCAGCAACCACATGGTGGCTCACAGCCATCCAAAATGAGATCTGGCGCCCTCTTCTGGTGTGCAGATATACATGGAAGCAGAATGTTGTATACATAATAGATAAATAAAATCTTTAAAACAAAAGAAAAGAAAAGAAAAATACAGGTTAGTAGTTAATCATGTACAACCATCAAACGTGTAACCCTGTTAGACATGCTTCCAAGATAGATGATCTTCAACTTCAAACATTGCAGACATGTACAGAATATGGCATTTAAGATGTTTTAATAACATAAGGCTTTTCATGACAGAGACAGGTCTGCTCCTGGCAGCACCAATCTCCTTCAAAAGGAGAACCTCTATATGGAGTTGGCTTTCTATGTAGCAGAGTTAGCCACTGGGCAAGACACTGCCCTTGAATCAACTGCTGGCAATATGCTGTCCAAATTGGACAAGCAGGACACACACATACACAAAGGTTACTGTCACACTTTGCCAAGACAAGGTAGGACAGTCCTTAAATATTCCTGCTTCACAGAAGTCTCTCAGATTCCTACCTTAGGCCTGTAGGCCAAAAATGGATACCCCAACATTGGGTGACTTCCCAGACAGCCAGATGTCTCTGTCATTTCTATAGTTTAGGAAGTTGTTTGCTCTGCACTTCCTGTTTACTTAGCTAATATTTTATCCTTCTCCAGTCTCTGGTGGGGTTGAAAATTAGATAGTTATATAGTTTTCCTTACCAAATTAAAAAAAGAAACTCACAAAAGAGATGTAAAGTGGTTGGGTGGTAGTGGCACACACCTTCCTTCAATCTCAGCACTCGGGAGGCAGAGGCAGAGGGATCTCAGTGAGTCTGAGGCCAGAATGATCTACAAATCAAGTTCCAGGACAGGCAGGACTGTTACACAGAGAAACCCTGTCTCAAAAAACCAAAAAAAAAAAAAAAAAAGAGAGAGAGAGAGCTGTAAAATGTATAAGGTTGAGAGACATAAAAGCTTAAGTTGTTTATCTAAAAAAAAATGTTTTAAGGTTTAAAAAGAGATTTCTAGGTTTGTAATACAAGTTATGATAAAAAGTGATTTAGGTATAAAACTTTGGACTCATCAAGATAGAATAGGTAATAGAGTATTTTCTCTGAATTCAGCAAATGTAAATGAATTGGATATTGTGAATGTAATGCTTATCTTATGATTATTCTTATTTTATACAGTTTTACTGTATTAGAGTTAAACCCTTTCCTTTTTATTTAGAGATAAGGGGGAAATGCTGTGGAATATTTGTTTACACTGTGTGAAGATGTGTCACTGTTCAATAAAGAACTGAATGGCCATCAGCTAGGCAGGAGAGGACAGGGGGACTTCTGAGCAGAAAGAGTAACTCAGGATGAATCTAGGAGTGAGAGAGACACTAGTCAGACGCTAAAGAAGGTGGACAAACAGTATAGAGGAGAGGTAATGGAGTCACACGGCAAAATGTAGAGTAATGGAAACAAGTTAATTTATGTTGTAAGAGCTAGTGGGACAAGCCTAAGCTAAAGACTAAGCTTTCATAATTAATAATAAGTCTCTGTGTCATTGTTTGTGAGCTGGTGGCCCAAAGGAAAGTCTGCCTACACAGCTACTCTTTGCTGTGTGATCTGAGAAGGTCATTCAACCTCTTTGATCTTTGGTATGAAATGGCAAATAGGACAATTCCTGCCTCAAAGAAGCACTGAATATTAGATTAAATATCAAAGGAAGCACATAGTACACTGGGCCCCAGAATAGCTGACTGCCTCTCTTCCTGCAAGCTGCCTCCACACCCCAGAGGCAGCCCATGGAAGGATGTAGCCCATGGTGCCCAGCAGCCAGGCCTCACCTCTCTGTGCCCATCTTCACCTCGCTGACCAGCCGTCGGAGCCCCATGACCTGCCTCCAAAGGAGGAGCAGGCGGCTGTGCTCTCTGCTGAAGTAGGCGTTGAAGGACTATGGAAACAGACACATTTGACGCTGGGGACACTGCTGCATTCCTGCCCGTGCCCCAGCAGCATGGCCTAAGGAAGGACCTAAGGGACCTGGATTGGCCTCCCAGCTAGCAGGGTGTGACCGTGACTATGGGCTGGTCACTTAACTTTCTACATGGCACAATGACAGCACCGCGCACCATAGGAAATAGAAGAAACTGTGAACCTGGCCCAGGGCTTGTATAACCAAGGCCAATTCTCCCTTGACCCTGACCTCTGGCATTGTGGTCACATGGACAGGGTCCCCATCCCTCTCCAGACTTGATCCAACCAACCCTCTGCAAGGTCCCCCACTGTCACGCTATCCCACTGGCTCCCCACTTACCTCTTCCTCTCGCCTCCATGCTGCCTCCTTCTGGTCCAGCTCCTTGCAGCTGCGGGTCCAGTCATTGGTCACCTTGCGAATGTCCTCGCTCAGAGTCTGGTTGGCCAAGTTTGCCTGGTCCAGCTGCTCTCTCAGCATGGCATTCACCTGGGCCAGGCTGGCACTTCTGTGGGAGGCAGAGCGGGGGAGCAGTGGGCACTTGCTCACTTGTCCAGGGGGCTGCCCACTGCCCGTAATACACCCTCACCTCTGCTGCTCCTCTTCCAGGCGCAGAAGGGCGCTATCCAGGTCCTGGCTGTGCTCTGTGTCCTAGGTGAGGAACAGAGGAGTCAGGACAGGCAGGAGGAGGGAGACCTGTGTCTGCCCACCCTGGCACCCACCCTCAGGCGCTGCTGCTCCAGCTCCGTGGACTTCTCCAGCAGCTGCTTCTCCAGCTCAGAGCATTGTTTCTTGTACTGCAGAATCTGCCAATGTGCGGGAAGTGGTGTGAGCCCAGGAGTGAGGGCTGAGAGAAGCACAGTGAGGGCAGGGATGGGTGTGGGCAGCCCTGACCTTAGCCTGCAGCCGCTGCACTAGCTGGGCTTGCCGCTGCTGGCCCTCCTGGTAGGCCTGCAGCTTGCGTCGGTAGGAGGCCTGCTCCTCCTGCAGCTGCCTCCGCAGCTCCACGCTCTGGCGCACCAGCCCCTTGGGCTCCTGTGCCTCCAACTCCCCAGTCTCCAGCCGCACAGCCTGCTCCAGCTGCAGGGAAGGGCCCTGGGTCAGAGTCCTGTGCTTCAAGCAGGCCCAGGCCTGCTTCAGAAAACACCAGCCTGGGCTCAGACCCACAATGCCTTGCAAGCTGATAGCACACCAAGGAGCAGTCACAGGCAGGTAGGCCCAGGATGCAGTACACATGTGTACGATACATGAGCGAACATACAGATGGAGCAGGCATGGACACATACAGATTGGGCAATGCATAGTCACACAGAGCATAGCACACAGACAGGACATGTGGGACATGGTTAGATACACAGGGCAGAAATGGGCAACACAGATGGGACACGCTTGGACATACAGGACAGGTGCAGGCACACAGTGCCTGGGAATATGTGTGAGGTAGGAATGGGCAGGCAGATGGGACATACTTGGATATGCATGACAGGCACAGGCGCACAATGCAAATGTGGGCACGTATTTGGGGTGGCACACATACAGGCAAGCATAGGCACACAGAAGAGACAGACAAGTACATATGTGCAGGTACACCTGTCACCACGTCTGCAAACGGTTGCCCTGGAGGCACTGAGAAAGTAACCCATCCGTGCATCCTCTGCCACTCCTTCAGAACAGAGTCCACCCACCCTGTCTACGCCTAAGTCTGCTGCCATGTCTCCCCAGCCCTCTTCCTTCCCCAAGGCAAGCTCAGAAGGCCTGGATTTTTGTTCCCCATTGGATTTGAATACCCAGGATATTGTCTGTGGGGTGGCTTGGCTCATACCCAGGAATATTTGAGACCAGTGAACTAACAATGTAAGTGCATAGTGAATCTACTCGGGGCAGAGGTGGCAATATGCATAAGACCCGAGCTTACAGAGCACACATAATGCGCAAAGGCAGTCTCAAAGGTCCCAGAGTGACGCATGAGCCCCCTAAACACACGGCCCTAAGAGCTGTATGTACCCCATCTAGCACCTCTTACCTCACCTCTCTCTCAGCTCACAGGACCCTCCCCTATCCAGTTCCCTTCACTCCTGGTATTATGCAATGTCCCAACCTTAGGCCCCATGGGAACACAGAGGAGGCATGCCCACTAGCCCTCTCAACCTGTAGGGAGCCGTCCCTGCATTCTCCATTACAATGATGGTGCCTGCAGGCACTAAATGTAAATTATTGCACAGGCGCTGGGTAATTTTCCATTTCCTTGATCTCTGCCTATTCCGTGGCTCATATGGCCTGAGGAGCTGAAGCCAATCATAGGGTGACACGTCCCAGGCGGGGCTGCCAGCCTTTATTAGGGGACGGGATTCTTGG